GATTCTATGATTCTATGATTCTATGATTCTAAGTCAATAGTCAGACTCTCAGCACTGTGAGTGCATGATCTCAATTAACAACTGCATGAGTTGTTCTCATCTCATTGCTATAAGCTGAGCATGCGTGAGTGACAAAAGCATCTGGTGGGTTGTTTTTTTGTTTTGTTTTCTTTATAACCTTACATTTCTGATGTTTTATTTTTTCTTACTATCACTGGGAGTTTGGATGGGTGCATGGTAGTAGGCAGAAAATGCATTTTAATGGGAGCAGAATAACTGCCTGTCTGTGGTACTTTATTTGTACTAAGCTGTGGGAAAGGCTCTTGCTGGCAGAGTTCTGTCTCTGAGTACTGAACAGTAAGGTAGGAGCCAGGTACTATGCCTTCCTTAATTTTTCATTTTCCCTTTTTTTCCCTCTTCGCCCCCTTTTCTTTGTAAACTTGAGGAGTTTTAGCCTTCATAGGCTTCTGCTGGAAGGAGTTTTTGGACTGTAGGAGGGGGAAAAAGGAAAACAGTCATTCTCTGTTTACATTTAAATGTCCTTCCAGCAGACTCATTCAGGGAAGTTAAGAGGACTTGAGATACCTACTTGGAGATCCCAAATCTTTTGTTTTTATAGCCTTTCAGGAGTCAGGCAAACTGGGAGATGGATACTGGGTTGGAGTCTAGAAACTATGTAGAGTTTTCTCTTGAGGAAAAGAATGGCGTTTAAGTTGTTGGGGTGCTTCAGAGTAAACATCCCGGTAAGATGAATAGGGCAGTTGACCTATCTGAGAGCTATTGTTTCAGACTGTCATTCCTTGTAGATGCAGTAGGATAGCACTAAATCAGTTCACATTGGCAGTCTTCCTTCACAATTCTAAGAGCAAGAAACTTGTATTTAAAATCAGAGCTTAAATTCTGAATGAAAGAATTGGACAACAGAAGTGTTGATGTGGCATGGTGTCTGTCTAACTGCTCTTTTTAATACATTCATTCCCACTCAGGTTTCCACTCTCAATAGGTATGGCTCCTGAGAGTATGCAAAGAAAAAGGTTTGGTATTTTCAAGCAGGTGTCTCAAATCCATCTATTTTCTCTGAAGAGCTTACTTGGAAGGGCATTCAGGTGTAAGTGGAAAAAGGCTCATGTTCTGGGGCAGCAAATCTTACGCGAACCCCTTATCTGCTATCAAAAGAAAATCTTGGTTACCTTCTTTATCTTTCAGTTTAGGTTACAGACCTCTTCCATCAGTTTCTTTGGCAGCTGTCTTTGCACTTTTCATATGAGGGTCTCAAAATGCTCATCTTCTGAGTTACAAATATAAATTTTTCCCCCTAGATATTGATGGATCATCAAAATTTGTCAGAACATGTCCTTTGCATGGTTTTGTATTTGATTGAATTGGGACTAGAAGATTCACCAGAGCAGGAGTCTGATGAAGAAGTAAGTGTTAAATGTCATTATTTTTTTGCTTTTTAATAAGGAAAGTATTATTTATATATGATCTTTAAACAATAAAATTAAGAAGCTGTAGGCATTATTTTAAAACCAAATTTAATCATGAGAATTTTAAAATTTGATTAGAGATACAGGATTGTCATTTTATCATATAACCAGGGATCAGTTTGAGGCTTCTTAATATTTCTGTCTCAGGTTACAGCAAGGCAGACAGTTAAGTGGCTTTATTATTTGTTGATGTGACTGTGATTGAACATTGCCAAATTGCTGAAATTAGCTGGTGTTGGAATTAGTTCTCTCTTGTTTCCTCCTATTTTAAACAGGTCTTCATGAAACAATATCATTTTAGTAGTCTAACCTGAAGACTTGGCACCTAATCATACAGTCCATACTTGTATGCAATTACAATTGGATTTACGTGTGTAAGCTAGGTTTACAAGATGGGGCTCTTGGTCCCAATATTTTTTTTTGGATTTCAGGACCCTTCCTTAAGATTTGGGCTATTTCCTGGGGAAATTATCTTGAGAAAATAAATAATAGCTAGTTAATAAACTTTCTTCAGGAGTGTTTTGCTTAACTTTTGTTTTAAATTAATATGTGTTTTTTGAATATCATAAGGTAGCATACAGTGGTGAAAATTAAATTAAAATCTTGTAGTGCATATGCTGGAATGGTCTGTGTAATGTCATAACATGAGTGGTGCAGTGGCTTTGGCTGATATTTAGTAAATTATTGCTTGAAGATGTTTACAGAAAATGAACTGACTATAAAGCTCACTTAAAGAATAGCTTTCAAGTACCTCTTTGCCTGTTCTCAACTTGATATATTGGTTATCATATTGGTCTTCTCACTTTCAGTATTCTTACACATTACAAAAATTATAGAAAATATAAAAGTTGCAAAAATTATCAAATGAATTCACAACAACAGGTCTGCAAAGGTGTGTCACAACCACAAGGTCAAACTCTTATTAAGGTTTGGGCTTTTTAATGATGAAAAGAGGTTTTTAAATCCTATCTGTATGCACCAAAAAAACCCTTAAACAACGAGATATTCAGAGAATTCATGGCGATCAATAATATTCTGCTAGCTAAAAACAAACAAAAACTCCTACTTGTTCTATGAAACTAGAGTAGGTCTGTCTAATTGCACAATATTAATCTTCACACCAACGCTTAGTCACCAACTGAAGGCTACACAAATGAAACGTAGTAAAGATACCTTTTTTTTTTTTTTTTTTTTTTAGTTAGTTTTAAAATTGAGTATCCCACGTCTGGGAGGATTCTTTACAGGGAGGATATCGTAACGGTAGGCTGAGAGCCATTCGGGTTGTTCCACATGGTCAGGTCCCTGTACCTGCACAGAGTCCATTGGCCTCAGTGAGACGCCATGTGGATGGAAAAAGTAATGTGCAGGATCAGGGGCCAAGGTAAAATTTCCATTTTCCATGGACTTTTGAAAAAGTTAGAATCAAATTATTTACTTTAAAATGCTTCTATAACTCCCAGTGGCTGGAAGTTGAAGCTTAACAAGTTCAGACTGGAAGTGAAGTGCCTTTTTTTTAGCATTAAGGGTCATTTATCGTTGAAACTACTTAACAAGGGATATGGTGGATTTTCCATCACCTGAAATCTTTAAATCAAGATTGGTTGTCTGTCTTAAAGACAGACTGTAGTTCAATCACAAGTTAAACTACTGTTACAGCAGTTTCCTAGGTATAATTCTATGGCTTATTTTATGCAGGTAGTTAGACTAGCTAACCACAATGATCTCTCTGCCTTTAAAATCTGTGAATATCTGAGAGCAGAATTTGGCCCCAGACATTACATAAAGGAAGCAAAATCTTAAGTGTTTTTGTTAATGAATTTCACAAACAAATTTTATTCCCAGAACCATACTGTTCCATTATTTAATGTAATGTGCAAACAAGGAAATAAATGAAGTGAAGCTATATTTTGGATAGCTTAATAAGAAACATCATATGAAAAAGGAGAAAGCACTTAGGACAGAAACTCTATTTTTAAAAACCTGTTTTTAAAATGGAGATAAAGTGGTGGTGGATGAGAGGAATTTACCATTCCTCAAATTTACTTGACAGCATTACAGTTCCAGAACAACAGTTATCTTAAACCATCACGCAGTTTTTGTATAGGTGAACAACCCATTTAGAAAAATACTGAAAACAGCATCCAGTTTAGTGTGGTTAAGTGAGAAATTTTCATGGAGGAATCCCATTAACTATTGGAGAAATCATTGTCCTTTACCCATGTAACTGTCAGCACTGAAAATACTGAGGTCATAAAACATTAGTACTGTAGATGACGATATCTAGAATACTGGTGAAAGGGACAATATTTGATAAAAATATATAATGGCAGCATAATGAAAGACTATTTGACCTATGCAGGGGTTCTCAAACTTCATTGCACCATAACCCCCTTCAGACAATAAAATTACTACATAATCCCAGGAGTGGGTATCAAAGCCTGAGCCAGCCCGAGCCCCCGGTGTGGGGACCAAAGCTGTAGTCCAAGGACTTCAGCTCCAGGCACAGGGCCTGTAACCTGAGTCATGATGCCCAGGGCTGACGCCCTCAGGCTTTGGTTCCAGACACCAGAAAGTCTAAGACAGCCCTGGCAACCCCATTAAAATGGGGTTGGGACCACTTTGGGGTCCCCACCCACAGTTTGAGAACTGCTGACCTAGAAAATATATATATATTTTTTTGTCAAAATGAAAAGCATTAGAAGGCAGCGATATACCATTATTTTGAAGAAAGCCATTGAATTTCACATTACCTTTTCCTGTAAGAACCTAGATAGATAGCTCTTGAATATATGTGGTTCTGTGTAGGTCAGCTAGTCCGTGCCCCTAACTAGTGCAGGATTTTTCCTTACGATATATTTTTTTTCATTGCTTTATCCAGTTCTGTTTTATATGACTCAGGCACCTGGACTTCTGCTATTCTCCTTAGAACAGGAGTTCTCAAACTGGGGATCGGGACGCCTCACGGGGTCATGAGGTTATTGCACAGGGGGTCGCGAGCTGTCAGCCTCCACCCGAAACCTCGCTTTGCCTCCAGCATTTATAATGGTGTTAAATATATAAAAAGTGTTTTTAATTAATAAGGGGGGTCGCACTCAGAGGCTTGCCACTGCCTTAGAAGATTAGTTTACCCTATACTAGAGCTCACAGTTAGAAATTTTGTCCCATTACTCTCAGTTCATACCACTTTTTTCTACCCTGAAGAATTCCTTTCCTCCTCATGAGTGCTCTTTTTATATACTTATAGACGCTTATATTTGAACAAAATATAATCTTTGTACATTTTTTGAGGTTCTCAGTCCAGCAGTCTGTCACTAGCATTTTTGAAGATCTGTATAGTTTTTACCGAGGTACATATTCCAGTGTACGGTTCCCTTTTACTACAGAGATAATAATCAGCTTTGGTACAGTTCTAAAAGCAACATTATTTATCATAGTCTATAAAAGAAATATCTATCTAATAGATATATATATAAAAATAAAATTTACACAAAGTTTTTTCCATTGATTTGTTTTTCATGGCTATTACTCTAGGATTCTGTTGGTGAACATGAACGTTGCCATGACAGTTGGTTTCCAGATAATAACTTGGTGTCTAACATGCGTCACTTTATTAACTATGTTCGAGTGAGAGTACCAGAGACTGCTCCAGAAGTAAAGAGAGAACCACCTGCAAGTACCAGCTCTGATGGTTTAGCTTCTTCCCAAGTAAGTGTAAAGAAATCCCAGGTTTTTTGCCTTCTGTAATAAGAATGCCAGAAAGATGTAACTAATATATTGATTTTTTTTTTAAGACCATTTAACTTACCTTAATATTGATTAGTTTTATAAGTTTCTCAGGAGTATTTTTCCTCACCAATACTCCTACATTATTTCTGTGGCAGGATTATTCCTAAAGTGTGGAAGTTATTTCAAAACATACCTTTTTCCAAATGACCGTTTTTAATTCCACCCTCTTTTTCCTCCCTGCCCAACCTACCAGAGTCCAAGGCGGTCTAAGAGCCTTCAAAGAGAGGTAGATTTGTGTGCAGTTTGTATTCTAATGCCCTTACCTGGCAACATGGCTTTAACTATGCTCACCATAACTTCCAGTGAAATCCATTAATTTCTGAGACTTTTTTTATTTTGCAAGTACCTATGCATTTTGTCAGCCTCTCATTCTTAAATAATAGACTAATAGACTTGAATGACTTAGAATTTGACATAATTTGTTTTTTAAAATAATTTCCATCTATCAAAGGTATTAAATGTTTTTTTTGCTGGCCTACTACTTGAGCAAATATGGGCTCACTATATATGTGCCTTTTTTGTTTGTTTTGTTTTTGCCACTGCAGATGGCAAACTAATGTTACTAACATATAATAATGTTCTGTTGTCTAGCTTCTCGTATCTGAATAATCTTAACTTATTAATGTGATGTAGAAAGTGTATTTGAAATGATTAATGGCAAATTGGTTTGTTTTTGTGGAAGCAGAATTAATTTTTACAAACTGGAATCATAAAATATGTATAACCAGTATATAATCCAGTCTTTGTTAATGTTTTTACCTAAGAACACCAGATTTAAAGAAAGCTACAGCAAAGAAGTATAGTTTATATAGTAGGTATTTTTGTGTGTTAGCACAACATTTTTTTTTCCCAATAAAAATTGGCCATGATTTAAAACAACAACAACAACAACAAATGTGAGCACCTAAATAGACTCCCCATTCCATATTTCGTCACCTAAATAATTGGCTGCTGTTGGGTGCTCAGCTTTTCTGGAAAATGTGGACTAAGTTTTTAAAAAAATAGGATCCAAAAGTTAAGCTCCGAATGCCACATTTAGGCACTTAAAAAGTAACTTGATTCTCTATAGTTTTGATCACTCAACAGCTCACTGAGTTCAGTATCTTAATGTTAAATATGAAATTGATTATTTGCTGTTCAGCTAAATATATATATATACACTTTACATTTTCATACCTGGCTTTTTATATTTATGAGTATAATCAATATGTATAAAAGCATGTTGGACATGCAGGAGTATTTTGAATATAGAAATATTTTTAAATTATGGCAAAATAACTAATTGCTTGGGAAGAGGAAATTAAAGGCATAGGAATGGCTTCATTGTTTTTTCATTAGCCAGCTGTTGGAAGCTGAAAAGATGTTGCATATAGTTTTGCAAAATGATTATTGTTGATTCTTGTACTCCCTTTTATTAATCCACTACAAATAGCTCTTTCTTTTTTAAGAATTCAGGGACAGCTCAAGTGTTCAGCTTGGTTGCAGAACGTAGAAAGAAATTTCAGGAAATTATCAATCGCAATAGTAGTGAAGCAAGTCAGGTAGTTCGTCCCAAGACATCAATGAAATGGTCAGCACCTGGTGCAACACCACAGCTAACCACAGCCATTCTGGAAATCAAAGAAAGCATATTGTCCCTGCTAATCAAACTTCATCATAAACTCTCAGGAAAACAAAATTCTTATTATCCTCCATGGTTTGATGATATGGAGGTTTTAATCCAACCAGAAATTCCTAAATATTCTCATGGTGATGGGATGACAGCAGTAGAAAGAATTTTATTGAAAGCTGCAGTACAAAGCAGATTGAATAAACGGATCATTGAAGAGATATGCAGAAAAGTGACTCCTCCTGTACCACCAAAAAAGATTAGTCCTGCAGAGAAGAAAACCTTGGACAAAGAGGAAAGGTAATATATTAAAAATAATATGGGGCACACTGGGGGGGGGGTGGTATGTACCCCTGTCTGTCTGATAAATTGATCTATCTCTTCGGCAGTAATCGCTAAACCAACAAATAATTTACCAAAAAATTTAAAATCTTAAATTATAACTCTAGTTTTCAACAGCCAGTCCTGCAAGCTGCCTGATTAAAGTGTGTGTTGAGTGTCATCAGCACCTTGCAGGATTGGGCCTTTACATGAAGAATTTCTTGGGGAAAAGTTTCCTGCTATGTGTATAACTAATGATGGTTAGCATATGTTCTTGTTTTTGTAACACTTGTCTTCCCTTTCCTTAACTCTTCCCATTGTTCTTGGTCATCTCTTGTCATGTTATATGTGAGGTCTTTGGATTGGGGATCATGACTTTTGTCTGCATCAGTGGTTCTCAACCATTTTTGGTCCATGATCAAAAACATAGATTCTAGACATTCAGGGCTACAAAATAAAGAACTTTAAAACAGACACCTTTTAATGTCTAGAACAGCTGTTACTATCTGAAGACTTTCTCTCCTTTCCTAGGCTTTGAGCCAGCTGTACTTTTGGGAGGATGGAAAGGGAGATAAATTCTCTACATTAGCAAAGACAAGGAAGAAACTGTTTCCCTGGCAGATAGTTTTTTTTTTTAAATAAGGCAGTTTGAAGCTGACCATGGGCTTGCAAGGCTGGAATAAGATCAGGGGAGATGAATTAGTGGGCACATAATGACATTGTATGTCTGATAAAGTGCACAGTCGCATGTTTATTGTCTCTGTGTATACCTGTGTGTATATTGTAGCAGGAGAGACGTAACTTCTGTATAAAGGTTGTCTAATATATTTTTCCTACCTTTTTTTTTTTTTTGGTTGGAACACTAGTGTCTCCATTGCTTTCGGTATGATTTTGAAAGTTGGCAGGAGGATAATCCTGCCTATTGATGTTCCCATCAAAATCTGTTCAGATTTGGCAGAGAGAAGCTTTCAAAAATCGCTGTATGCAGTTTGTGTTATGCCCAGAAGACCATGCTAGCGTCTTGCTACTAAAATTGCTCAACATTCAGTGCTTTCCAGCATGTCACTCATGCCACAAAGAATTACACTTCTGGATGGGGCACAGTCACACATAGTGTGTTTTTCCTTCTCTCTCTTTCTCTCTCTCTCTCTCTCTCTAAAGTACTTGAATAGAACATGTTAAAAGAATATTAAGTGGCAAAAAATAGTATGTGATCATGTAATTGAAGAGTATCTTAGTGCATATGCAGATAGGGCAGAATTAAGGTTGTATGAGGAACTTCTGATGATCTACTGTGCAACCTAAATAACATTAAGTAAATAGGGGATATTTTTGTGTGTGGTTGTATACACACCTACACACAGAATATCACATCTGAATTTATTTTTGGTTTATTTTATTTGAAGAAAAATGCATTTCCAGTAACTTTCATACAGTTACATTTCTAGTAACTTTTGGAGAACCAGAGAGACTTCAGTGAAAGATTAGATCATCTAGCAGGTCAGTTTGTCCTTCATTGCTCAAGGAAACATTTTTCTTTTTTTGAAAAGATCAGCTTTCTTCTGAGCTGTTCCATCTTCAAGTGGTTTACTTGTCAAGATAATATTGGTATGAACATAGCTGAAAGAAATCCAGAAATAGAATGGATCAGCCTGATCCATTTTTTCAGTCTTTTATAAAAACTATACATTTCCAAGAACATAAAGTGTGTGTGTGTACATAGTGTACTTGTAATTTCAATTTGTTTTAAAATGGTTTGGGAAAGTTTAAAAACAACAACAACAAAATTCATTCTATTCTAGTTGAATACAATATAGACCTTAAGAACTGTAGGATTCTAAGACGTACAGCTTTTAGGCACTTCAAGAAAAGCTATACTGGCTGGAGTGGCAAAGAAGAAAGCTGGTCTTTTCAGAAAAGACCGGTGTGACCTTGAGCAAATGATGTTTTATATAATCTATTCTCTCACTGAAGTCTCTGTGGCTGCTTAAAATTACTGTGGGCTTTAGACTCATACAAAACCCTAATACTAGAAGTGTATTTTTCTTTAAATAAAATAAACCCAAAATAAATTCATGTTTTTACGAACCATATTATCTAAATACCTTGACTAAATATAAAACCAAAACTAAATATAAACTAAACACTACAAAATAAAAATTAAAACTTTTTTCAATCATTCAGTGAACTAAAGAAGAAACTTTTGAATGTGAAACTTGCTTTTTTAAAAATGTGCTGATCGTCTCTTTAAAAATACAGTGCTGCACTTAGAAATACTTATGCCTCAGTTGTGCAACTGAGGATTCTTCAGTTTACACAGAGGGGAAGAGAGAATAAGTGAAACAGAACTGTATTTTTCATGTAATAAAGGATAATTTGTGCTTTTTCTCTGTAAAGGATGTGACATTTGAGCAGACATGTTCTGAATACTTTTATGTTGAATAAAACTCAAAGGATCACGTGATGATAAAAAATGATAATTTCCAGTTCTTTGTCATCCAAGTGACTATTTTTCCACCTCCTTGAATCAGTGATGATGTTTGCAAAGACTTGAAACAAATTTTCTAACAGGCAGTACCTTGTTACAGTTTAGAATTAAAATGGATCTAATCTGATGACTGTGTGAGCAGCATGAATCTAAGATTCAATTTACATTTGTATTTCAAGTCTAGTTTTGTAATAATGAAGATTGAGCAGGCAGTGTTTGAGCACTCAGTGATGACCCATTTCTAGTTACCTCAACCTACAAAGACAAACTTGGCATCTCCCACATGATCGATTGTCACCATAGAAACTAAGACATAGAGTTAGAAGAGAGACTGAACTGCTTGCAATATTTTTCAGCCTCAGTGTCTTAGGCCCTTGGGCCATCACGGAAAATTACTGAGCTGTACTGAATCTGTCAGAGTTTGTTTATGTCTCCTTATTAAGGTTCTCTATTTACAGTCAGACTGTTTTAGTAAAAGCGAAGCATAGGTTGAGGAAAAAATTCCAGGGAAAAATTACTACAATAATTCTAATAAGAGGTTGTCTTACATTACTGATGCATCCTCTAAAATAATCAATCTTAAAATTGTGTAAGGAAATATTTTTAAAAAGTGGTGACTTTTCAATGTGACAAATAATCATGTGCACATGCGGGGATACTTGAATTCTAAAAATGCCTAAGAAAATTGACTAAGTTAAATAATACTTGCCCAAGAAAAACAATTACTAATTACTCTTGCCCTTTCTTAAAACTATATTTTACTTAATCAGTGTAAATAATTTCATTATCAGGGTCCTATTGAGACACCATACAATTCACTGTGATTTAATTTTCAGGGTAACTTTTTGTTTACTTTAAAACAGAAAATTTTATATATTTCCATATAATGCGCGTGTATGTCATTTTTCTCAGTAAATGGGAAGGGGGGGAAGGGGAGGTTGGGCAGCCTACAGAGAGCCTAGTGACTGACTCCTCCAAATACTCAAACAATTAATAGGTACCATTATACTTATTGTAATATTTTTAAATGCATCTTAAAATAAATTAGTGAGTTTTCTTTGTTAATATGACCATAAACTGTGTAAAGTCCTTTTCCAAAACATTTCCAAAGCAAACTTAATTTTAAAAAATAAACTGGAATGACAGAACAGCTAATATCCCAGCTATAGAAGCTCATTTCAGAGATTTGTTTATTGGCTCTAATTAATTTGTTTGTGTTTTTGGGTGGGAAAAGTGTGATGAGGAGAAACCAGACCTGTGAAAGATAATGAGCAGGCAGCACTGGAATTTAAAGGCCACTTTTTTCCCACCAGTGTAAGCAACTGCTGTATGAGGTTTTTCAATACCTTACCAATTATTTTAATCCTTGCTATCACCTTTGGTTGAAAAAATAATTCAGTCTTGATTCTAGTGTTCTCTTAGGGCTCTTTATGAGCAGAGTTTGGATATTTTCCCAGGCTGTTTTATGCTGAATAATTTATACTAATTTTGTGATGACGATATAGTCACATGAACTTGGAACCAGTTAGTAGGTAGCAACTCAAGAAGAGCATTGATGATCTTATGGTTAAAGCAGCTGAATAATACCCAGGACAATTTGGTTCTACCTCTGGCTCTTCAATGAACTTCCTTTGTGATCTTGGGCAAGTCACTGAAACCAAAATTCCCTAGGTGACCACTAATTGTGTGGTACTCCTTTTATGGGGCTCAATTTGAGACACCATGATCATGATTTTCAGAAGAGCTGAGCACTCACAACTGCAAGTGAAGTCAGTTGGAGCTGTGGATGTTCAGTATCTTTGGAAAAATCAGTCAAGTTTGCTTGAGCAGGATTAATTTTAGTGTTTCTTAACTTTTGAATGCTTGATGTTGCAACCTTAGCATCCTTTTATATATCTTATAATACATTTTGTACATATTTATAAATGGATAGCTAAAACAAGAATTTGGTGTTTGTTCCCTCCTCCTACTCCAGGTCCTTTATCCTCTTTTTTTCCTGACCACAGGCAATAGCAACAAAACTACCTGATTTGTATGCCGTTTTTTGGCCTGGACTAGTAAATTTTAATCACTATTTGCAAGGGTAGCAGAAAAGTATGGACACTAGAAGATATTGTGGTGTGTTTATACTGATGCTGCCATTTTCCTCCATCTTGCTTCCATTTTCTGGGAGTTGCTCTTCCCTGATGTGGTACAAAAATAACATTCAAGAGTAATGTCCTTATTTCTTCTATACTGGTAAGTCCTGATTAGATCATCATCCTTTGGTTTTGTTGGCTGGCATTCATCCCTTCCAGTGCAACCAACAAAAACTACTCCTTTTTTATCATCAAGAATCACTTCTAGGGTATTAGATTCCTCATTTGTCTGTCTAACAAATTAATGCAAAGAGGGGACTGTGGTAAACCTTGTGTCGCAGACGAAATTGTGTGGTGTGCTAACTGCTGTGCTATCAACCCAAGAAAATAAATGTTTAACTCTTCTCTCACTGTCGTGGGCGGCTCTGTTTTTTGCCACCCCAAGCACGGCAGTCAGGCGGCCTTCACGGATTCAGGGGCGTTTCAGCGAGTGATCCCGCGCCTTCGGTGTACCCACCGCCAAATTGCCGCCGAAGCCGCGGGACCGGCAGACCTCCCGTAGGCATGCCATCGAAGGCTGCCTGACTGTCGCCCTCACCGTGACCGGCACGCCGCCCCAGGCACGCGCTTGCTGTGCTGGTGCCTGGAGCCGCCCCTGCTCACTGTTATACCAGTTTCTCCAGTAAATTTCTAATATCTCTTTCATGTAGACGACAAAAGGCCAGAGAGAGGCAACAAAAGTTGCTAGCTGAATTTGCTTCAAGACAGAAAAGCTTCATGGAAACTGCCATGGATGTTGGTAAGTTGTATTACTTATTTTATTGTATGTAGTTAAATTATTTTTAAAAAGTCTCTTGTAGCAATTTCTGTGCATTTGATGCTCCCACAGATGCTTACAAATGCAGTTTCTATTAAAAAAAAAAAGCCGCTGCTTAATAAGATGCCCTTTATAAATTACATTTCTTGGACTTCAAATAATTCTTCATACTGTGCACTTACATTGTATAGCTACTTACATCCTAGCACCTCCAAAGTACTTCACAAACACTGAACATCACAAAATTCCTGTGACAGACAGACACATTCTGTACTTTTTACAGATAAACTGAGACAAAGTAATAGTAAGTGGCTTGACCCAGGAATTGAATCTGACTCCCAGTTCTGCTCTCTCACCACCTGACCATGCTCTCTACCAAATAAAGCATAGCAATCATGAAAACTTCAGGAGTTAGTTTGTAGAACTGAGCCCAACCATCAATAAAGGGCAAATAGTTTTAACTCAGGGTGGATAAAAGTTGATGGATTTAAAAAAAATTTAAATTTAATACATTTTTCTTTTTTAAAATAAACCCGTTTAAAATTGAAATTATGACAGCCTATGTTAGGCCTAAATTTACTGTAAACTATTAAAGTAATTTAAATTAAAAAAGCTGCAACAATGAGCCCTCACATGTTAATAGTTAAAGGATGCTGCTTTTTTAATTATATAGAGAATCAAAAGGAAAACATCTTAACTTTTTGAGGTCAGCTCAAGCTTGATAAATCTATCACGATGTCATGTACTGCATTACTATATCTGTTATTTTCAGACCATGAAGTGAATACTGGTATTTACTTTTTTCCAAATGTAAGGACTTTCAGTTTCTGTTGTGCAGAAAAGCTTTTGAATTAATTACTTTTGTTTTCAATTTAGTTAACAGATACAGAGAGAATATTTTCTTCATTTGGACTAGTTCACTCAAAGTTAAGATGACATTTTGGGGAGTTAAAAAGGCAGGAAAACTTGTTTTCCTTTTCAAATGTATAAATAAAAATCAAGTGGGAAGGGATGAGCTCTGCTAATTTTAAAAACTTGAAGGATGTGGGGCCAGATTTTAAAAAATATTTAGGCACCTAAAGATTCAGATAGGTGCCTAATGGGATTTTCAAAAGTGTCTGAGTATGTTAGGTGCCTAACTCCTATTGATTTTAATGGGAGTTAGCCACCTAACCTGTTAAAGTTTGAAAATCCCACTAGGCAGCTATTCTGCATCTTTAAGCATCTAAATACCTTTGAAAAAATCTGGTTCATGAGAACTGGAAACAATCTGTCAATTCACTAACTAAAGTCAATACTTCATTTGTTTTAATAAATCAGTTTTAAGTGCAAAAAAATGTTTTGATGATATTTTCCTTGGGTATCAAGCACATTTAAGGTAGTTTTATTTAACTAATGAAAATAATTTCAAAACAACTGCTGTTGTAAATTTTTAATTGATTTCCAATTTCAGTCCAAATACAGCTTGACACAAAACCCTACTAAAAAAACTCCTATCATTTATTTAATAAGAAATGGGTCAATTACCATTTTTTAACATCATGTAAATATTTGACTCTGAATAAATGTATAGTAAGCTATGTAATTGTTTAAATAAATTAGTATAGATATAGTGTATCCTCCAGGCTATCAAAAAGTAGATTAAATTTAGTGTAAATGTGTTGTATTGTTTGTATTACAGTATGATCATTCCCTTTTAGAGTAAATGTGGGTAGACAGTGACAAACATGACAGAGAATAGGGAATGGTATCTCTTTAAACAGAAATCTTTTACCGTTTCCAAAGTGCTTGAAAGCTTGTCCCTCTCATCAAGAGAAGTTGGTTTAATAAAAGATAAAACCTCACCCGCCTTGTCTCTCTAATATCCTGGGACCAACATGGCTACAACTACACTGCATACTGAAACACAGTCTGATCCTCAGAGTGCTTTCTGTGTTAGTAAAAATGTCATGACTTTCCATGCTTTTGTTTTAATATTAAGCATGCTCATTTTACAATTTAAAAGAATCTCTTAACTGCAACCTTGCAAACTCAGTTTTGATTGAGAGAGGTCAGAGCTCTTTCTTTCTTGTATGTAATCACCAGTAAAAGAAGTTCTGCATATTATTTAGGCCATCAGTTGCGTGTATATATCTCATTGTCTTCTAATTATACTCTCATTGAGACCCCTGCAACCATATTGCCATTTGGGTTGCCTAGATGTAATTGAATGAAACTTTGTAAACATTTGTATCTATGCACAAGAAAGAATAGAGTCCAGCTTACTCTGTTTTAACAATAGTATGGATTCTGCAGGATTTACAGCAATATATATATATATATATATATATATATATATATATATATATATATATATATATATATATATATAATA